TGTAAAAGGATGCATGTTCCAACGCACACTTTGCGAATTCGTTTCGTAATATTGTGCACGCATTGTGGTATTTTAGTATCAAGTGTTATGTTAATATATTTTGAAACCATGAATCTACAGATATATATCATTGACAGCATTATGCCAAAACCAATTTGACTCATGTGTTACCTAATACTATCTCATAACACTCATTCATTTTCTACAGTTTTTCCGACTTTAAAGATTGTTGCATTGAAAAATACCTGTACCAATATGATTTACCAGTGTTTTAATGTCAAAGCTTAATTAGAATGGTAGTATACAGTACCGTTTATCCGAAATCCGCTTTATCCGAACAAACTTTTCCGAATTAAAAGTTTTTTGTTTCTTTTTTTTAACATTAAAGTTCCTCTTAACATTATTTTGAGTTTATTTCTTTATTCATAAGACTGGGTACTAAAATTTAAATTCCTGTTTTTCCCTCTGACAAGTAAGACATATTTTTTCTGCAAGAACGCAAAATAAACGAGGTTTGTTGTTCAGCAATTAAAAACTTTTCAATCATATTTTGGCGCACAACCATATCAAAGTATTCTACGTACGCACGTTTTACGATCATATTTCACGATAATGAGGCACGTGGGACTTCTGTTTATACGAAATTTTTGTTATCAGAAACAGCCGCTGCGTCCCTATCATTTCGGATAAACGGGAGTTTAAGAGATCTGTTCAAAAAGTATCGCGAATATTGTGTTTTTTCAAAAATTATTTATTTATTCATGAGAATAAGTGCGGAATGTTAGGAAAATAAAGTAAATAAGGAAATTGGTTTTTCTATGCTCGCGAACGATTAATTCAGAAATTCTAAAAAGAAACATGGACGGTGGGCGCGGCGGAAAAGAAAAGGTTAGAAGGGTTTCAAATGTGATGTTACGGTCGAATGATGAGGATACCGTGGATAGAGAAAGTTAGAAATGAAGACATATTAGAAATAATAGGAGAACAGAGGACTCTATGGAAGTCAGTAAATAATAAACGAGATAGGTTGCTACGACACCTTCTCAGGCTTCAAGGTCTAATCAGAGACATATTAGAGGCAGAAACAGTAGTCAGGAGGTAGAGGTAGACCTAGATTAGATTAGTGTTCATAAATACGTAGTTAAGGAAGTGCGCTGTTCTAGTCTTAGAGAAATGCGAAGATTAGCTCAGGATAGGAAGGAGTGGAGGTGCGTGTCCAACCAGCCTTAGGACTGACGATGTTACGATGATGATGAATGTCAATTTAAAAATTATTTTTTGTGATCTTGATCAGTTCTTCCTACGGTGTCGTCTTTATCTTCTCAATCGTAGCCTAACGTCGTCCTTTCGTGGGCCTTTTCAGCTTCAGAAAAAAGAAAACGTCACAGGTGGCCAGATCTGGAGAAAACGATGACTGCAGCATTATTAGTGTGTCATCCAAAAATTCGCGCACAAGCAACGATGTGTGAGCAGAGGCGTTATCATGGTGCAAAAGCCAATTTTTGTTCTTTCACAAATCCGGCGTTTCTGCCTGTTTGGTTCGCTCAAAAGTTGGCATAACCTGCAGGTAATATTCCTTACTGCTCGACCCTGGGACAAGAACTCATGATGCACCACGTCCCTACAATCGAAGAAAACATTAAGCAAAATCTTCACATTCGATCCAACTTGGCGCGCTTTTTTCGGTCTTGGCTCGTGTGGCAGGATGTTTGAGTTTTGGTTTCCACGTCATAACCATAAACCCATGGAACAAGAGAAATTCACAGGGGGCCAGATCTGCCGAAAACGGTGGCTGTGATAAAGTGCGTTTTTGGCCAAAAATTCGCTCACAAGCAAAGATGTTTAACCAGGAGCGTTATTGTGGTGTAAAAGCCAATTTTTGTTTTTTTTTTTTCTACAAATCCGGGCGTTTCTGGCGGATTGCTTTCCGCAAATTGCGCATAACTTACAGCTAATATTCCTTATTGACCGTTCTACCCTGTAGCAAGAACTCATGATGCAGTTTTGGGTCATGCGGCTTCTAGGTCATAACTTTAAACCCATGATTCGTCACCAGTTATGACGCTCTGGAGCAATTTTGGGTCATCGTGGACAGAATCGAACAGCTCCTTAATAATGTTAATGAGGTGCTGTTTTTAGTCGAAATTGAGCAATTTTGGTACAAATTTCGCTGTGGCCCGTCTCATGTCCAAATCATTGGTTAAAATCGAATGGCAGGAGCAATCGATATGTTTAGGTCCTTAGCAACTTCTTTAACGGTGATTCGACGATTGGCCAATACTATTTTCTTCACTTCATCGATGTTTTCGTCTATTGTTAACGTGCTCGTCGTTCACATCTTCTCGGCCCTCTAAGTCAACGCGAAGGTTAGCTTAGGATAGGAAAGAGTTTTAGGAGTCTTAGAGTCTTAGGACTGACTGACTCCATTTAAAGTGAATATCAGATTTCAATAAGCATAACATGATTCTAAATCATCAACTGACGGTGACCCAATATTCTCGAATTCCTTCAAAGAGAAGGAGGAAGTAAAAATACTCAATAGGACCTAACCTTACATTCCAAAAAGAACTTATAACTGAGGTGAGCCAAAATCACCTGAAAAAACGCGGCGGATTATTACATTATTATTTTTTATTTCTACAGTTTGTAAAGAATTGCACGTTTTGGAATAGCTAGTAATACCGGAAAGTAATTTCATACAAATTTTTTAATATAATGATATTCTTTTATCTCTGTATCTATGTATGTTAACCAATGTTGGTTAGATATTTGCAGTAATATTAATAAAATTAAGTTGTCGAGTAGGGTAATACCCGAACAAATTTACTGGAATTTGTATTTACTTTAACCAATTTTCTGATAAAATAGTAATCCATTCGTACAGACTAATAAGCTAATGAAGCTGCGTTTCCTTTCTGTACAAAATTAAACTAAACAAATACTTATGTCCATATTTTTGATTGGTGGCAGACGATGTGGCGTTTCAAATCTTAAAATAAATTCTGCCTTCAATTAGGTTAATTTTATTTTTAATTTTTAACAGTTTCATTCATCGCCCGCTGAACACCTTTCGTCACTATAAACGTGATATTTTTAAATAGGCAAAATTGTAGAAAAGAGCAACGTCCTTATGTGACAAAAATACTACTTGATATGTAGGTATGTATACATATTTGGTTATCTGTTTATTATTACATACTAAAAAGTAAAAAAAAATAGTGTTTAATTGTTCCCAATTACACATTAAATCTGTCTATCTATCTTTTGATTGATATTTGGGTTGGCTGGATGAGCCATTATCCTCTTAGATCTAGGGGACTGTTTTGATGCTGGTCGGAAAGGTTAAGTTGGTTGTTGCATGTCTCTTGTCTCTGGTTCTTTGGCAGTCTATCATCAGATACTATCGGTTTGTCTAATATTTTCTTAATAACCGGATTATTGTGGCTACCAAGGATGTTATAGCATGTGGCTTTCACTATCGGGTAACTTTTTTTGTAATTTCAGGACCATTCCAACGAGGTAAACTGCAAACTTCACGAAACGTTGACGCAAACAATAAAACCTACATAAGTAACTGAATCCGAAAAAGATTGACGATATTCTTCAAGTGTTTCGTTTGGCAAACCAAAGTTTATCGTGGACATTTTAGTAGTAATATTAAAAACTATTTTCAATTCACTTCAAGGTATCTACTTATGTACCCATAAAATGTTGTAGACATATTTATGAGAAGATTCCGTAACCAAAGGCGAACGCTTTTCTGCTTGCCCCAATTTCTTTTAAATGAAAAATTTGAAAAATATTATTATTTTTACTACAAATAATAACAATATAGGTGTCTGAAATATAAAAGTGGGGTGTCAGTGTCGACTAACTGAGTATCATATATGTATCTTCTATTTTTTATTTTATTTATTTTGAACTCATGCATTTTGGTTTGTGATCAACATGCACAAAACATTATATCCCCCATCTAAATAAACAATGTTGTAAAAATTACACGAAGGAGAAATAAGGTTTCTAACATTTATGGTTCTGAAGAAGCAGAATAAAAACTGTTGACTTTTATCCCAATTATCACCAAAGGTTGTGGAACAAAATAAAATTGTACCTGTCTATTAAAAAAAATACTAATAGATACATGTTAGCCATCCTATTTTTTTTAACGTGTAATATTTATATACGAAGATACTGTTAAAACGATATGGACTACGTACTTTCCCTTTTCATCTTCTCTGTAGTTCTTAATAACCACTACCTAACTGTCTTTTCACTATCAAGGGCATATTTTTCTCCTTTGTTTTTCTTTCTATTCATTTACTATTTTCCAATGGAAACCGCAATTTGTCGAAACTAATCCATAACGACGAACCTTCGTCTACTAAGATAGGTGAAATTTTTTTGTCTTCGAAAAATTATTATTTTTTGCCTCTATTTATTATCTACAAAGGCGTAGAAGAGGCAAATATATTTATTTTTTTAATTTCGACTTGCAACTTGAAATTTAGACTTGCAACTCAAAATTTTGAGTTGAGTATTGATTTACTCATCAGTATAAGAAAATAGGCTTTCAAGGCCAAAATCGTGAAATTATGAATCGGCCTGAAAAACTGCGGTCTAAACAAATTCATTAATGAGCTTAGTGATCAGAGCATTGGTGCGTAAAGCCAAAGGTCCCGGGTTCGATTCCCGGCGGGGGTGTGACAACAGCAACAAAAATATTTTCCACATTAAATTGAGGAAGTTTGTAGTGGATAACTAAATCGAAAAATGATTTCAAATTAATATTGCATATTAACATTAACCACTATTAGTCCACACGGTCATCTATAGATTGTGATACATAACGAGGTGGGCGATTCTAGGATCACTATTTACAGCCAAACTCGCCCTTGTCCGGGTATTTTTTTCTTGTCTAATGGGAACCTGTTAAGCAAAAATCCAATAAGAAAATGTAAATATTTTTCCTGTCTTTCGTTTGACAAGATAATGTAAACATTTCATGGCTACGTATGTGTGTGATGAGTGTGAGTTTGTGATGTGGTGTACGTATGTTCGCCAGCGGTAATATTAAAAGCAGGTCTTAAACTTGACCTACATCGTGGCATCATCAGTTTACAAGGCGAAACAAAACAAACTTAATACACCACCGCCTCCTCGTCCAACCTATACTACTCATGCTCACCGACGGAATATCCAATTCGTTTAATGACGATGACTACGACTCTGACTAGATGGATGGTTTTATTACTCAATCATAGCACGCCCTGTCTGCGGTGGTAATAGTCCGTCCGTCTTTCGGAGTAAAATCATGCCCCGTGAAATGCCAAAGGCTAATTGAAAGACGTGTTCTAATAATCTAAGGCTATTTTAGAAACAGGGCGCGTGTTCTACTAATGGGAATGAGAATGGCAAAAGGCGAAGACAAATTAGGATATAATAACGATTAAAGAGAATACATCAAGACTTTTGATAAGTCCGCCGGAACCGATGGACATTTATGAGAATCGTTTATTAGGTAGGTAGGTAGGTAGGTACTATTCGAGATTATTATTCCATTACTTAAACAAATTGGTACAAAAATAATCACGATTAAGTTTTAAACATATCTCAAATGGTAGACTTGCCGATTAATAACAGTTAAACGGTTATTGGATTATAAACTGATATATGTAGATATTGGAAATTGATAAAATATAATATAACCAATGGACGTTATTCAGCTTGATCAATACATCGATGTCCGTGATTGATTAAGAGGTGAGATGTACGTTTCTATAATCAATAATATGATCTAAATCATCGACCATTTAGGTTAGATAATTAAAAAGTATTAAGAAAAAAATGCAACCATTCTGGATAATTGTAATCGTCATTAATAGTTAGCTAATATCATTACTAATTATTGAAGAAAATAAAAAACCCCACTGCGTGAAAAATTATAAACTTGAACTTTCCAAACTAACTTAATAAATTAACTGGAAAGGTTGTTTTAGCATTTCTCCTTCCAAATTACATTTAAACATATAATTTGTATATGTATATTTTTGTAAAACCATTTATTTTGATGACCCACTAGATACATAGATTTTAAGAAAAGAAAAACTTTTTGAAGTCATAATCATCATCATCATCATAAGGTCGTCAGTCCGAAGTTGGTTGGGCACGCACCTTCACTCCTTCCTATCCTGAGCTAATCTTCGCATTTCTCTAAGACTAGAACATCGCACTTCCTTAACTACTTATTTATGAACACTAATCTAATCTACTCCTCTTAACTATTGTTTCTGCCTCTAATATGTCTCTGATTAGACCTTCATGCCTGAGAAGGTGTCCTACCAATCTATCTCGCCTATTTTCTTACGACTTCCATAGAGTCCTCTGTTCTCCTATTCTTTCTAATATTTCTTCATTTCTAACCTTCTCTATTCACGGTATTCTCATCATTCGCCGGTAACACCATTTCGAACGCTTTTATCCTTTTCAAAACATACACCTTTAACAATCTTTTTCGAATTTCTAAATTAACCCTTCGCGAGCATAGAAGGCGACTCGATCCTTGGGTATTCTCTTCTTCATATCCCTACTATTCCCCGTCCTGACATATCTCACTTCCTAGATACTTAAAATAAGTAACTTCTTCTAATCATTCGTCTCCTATCTTTATATTCGCTTTTTCCCTTCTTTTTCTTCCCTTGCGTACCAGTATTTTTGTTTTACTTTTATTTATTTTCATAGAATACTGTTTTGTCAATACCGCTTCCATTTTATTTAAAGCTATCTCTAACT